TTTGTCGATTCGGTGGAGACGGCCCAACTTCTCAGATCCGAGTCTTGTGATCGGATGAGGAGGAGGAGTACCCCAGACCACTTCCTAGAGGGAGAAGCATGCAACATTTCAAGCAATGTCCCTGATCAAGTAGTCTGTCATCCAATAAGATTGAGAAAGTATGGAGACAGGTGTGAGCGTGTCGAGGTGGAATGAATGACTTTGGCAACGCGTTTCATCAAGTCAAAACTAAAGCAGCCGATTACCTGTCCGCGACATCTATGTTATTGTCAAAAAAACAACCCCTCGTTGGCGGTTGTATGATTGTTTTGTGGAGTTCGACCTGATATGGCCAGATTGTTATTTTATCTTGTGACATTGGATGTATCAAATCAAGATTTGAATTCTCTCAATTATCATTTCAGATTGGATATGTTCCTATCGACTACGGTCGATTCCTTTCGATGTAATTATGTATGGTCGTTACAACTTTCTTTTGATTGTGTGTTAAAGGGACTAGGATTAATGTTGGGTTTCACGCTTGGTGGAGACCGTCCTGGTCGACCGACGTTTGCTCCTTACCTAGGAGATCAACGCCCTAGGAACGGACGACGTTCGGGTACACTTGGCGTTGACCAAGCGTATTTATTCTACAGTGAACGAGCAAACGCCCTCGACTGACCTACCTCTGCAATTGCATCTAAAAACTTTCGCACATGGGTCAGTCGCTCGGTAGGGATACACCCCTAAGGGTGGTGACAACCCCTTAGGGAAGGAAAGCTTATGCCCCACGATAACCTATCCTGTCGTAGGGGACCGCGGGATGTACAGCTGGCGCACCCGGCTAGAGCGGCATCGGGACGACGCGACCGCAACCGTCTCGGTGGCTCGCGGGATACTTAGCGTCGTTTCGGAGTTGTCTCTTGTTTTGTTTTGTTTTACTCCTGCGTGACATGGCCGGGAGGGCTCTCGCCTTTGCGAAAAAGGCGGAAGCTGATGCACTCGACACCTGTCCCCCAATTTTTTTTGCCCCCTAAGAACCCACTTTGTGTCCTGGTCGCCCGCCGCCGAAAATGCAACACCTTGACACAAACGTTGAAGCCCATTATACCACAGCTTGGGCGCGGGGAACACAACCGTACTAAGGTAGCCAAAATAAAAAGACTAAGAGCGCGCACACGAGAGAGAGAGAGAGAGAGAGAGAGAGAGAGAGAGAGAGAGAGAGAGAGAGAGAGAGAGAGAGAGAGAGAGAGAGA